ACAATCGCACATAGTCGCATAAAATAATCCATAAGTTTCATATCACACAGCCGGAGAGGCCAGTGCTTCGGTCCTTCCCTGTTTTATATGCCTTTACAACTGTACAGTGCTGCAACGAGTTCAATAAACTTCGTCAATTGTCGCACTCCACTAAGCGATCATTTCTATCATCGACCATACGAAAAAAAAAGGATCAAACCAATGCAGGTAATACTTTTGAAGCATTTTATTGTCAGAAACATGAATGTGTAAAAATTAAAATTTTGGGAAATCAATTTTGAATGATTCTTTTTACGGGACTTAAGTCTACATTAACATCAATATAAATATCAGTCAGCCTTGAAATCCAACGGAGAATCACTCTTGCTAACAAGTTCTACTTTGGACAGAGTAGGGAAATGAGGAGTAAAGTCCTCTCTCGTCGTACAAAAATCACAGCTCTGAAAGAAAGATCAGATGGAGAAGGACTTGGGGCTTCACTTGGCATTTCCAAACGACTGGCGCGGAAGGCGATATATTTTACTCTACGTCATTTCACATTCCGCGATCAAAAGCCCCGCTCTAAGAACAAGACAGCAAACCACATACATATAAAAGTGCTTTTGAGTTCACAAAAAAATGCAAATTATCTGGATATTTTATAAGGTTAATGTTAAAAAAAAAAAAAAAAAAATATCTCAAAATAAAGTGATTGCGATTTCAAAGGGGTTTTCATGGCAGAAGTACACTCGGAGGTTTGTCATTGTCTGCCGAGGGGCGGCCGCTGCTAAGAAAAAACCCTTTTTCTTGGTTTTTTTTTTGCGATATTGTTTGACCAGGGCTTGAACACCACAACGGCCGACCGACCATACATTAATATGTAGTAGTATGTAAATTCCAGTATATCGCCATTAAAAAGTGTAGAATACTTGAATGTTTATATGTAAATACATCAATTATAAAACAAAAAGCCATGAAAAAGAGCTTGTATATGCCCTTTTAAGCTTACACCCAACATAGTACAATTATTTTACCATCGTAGATTTAGCAAAGTGAATGAAAAGCAAACACGATGAACATTACGTTTACATACTATATACATACATACATATCAGAATATATGTATGCTTATCATACACATACGGTCAGGCTTGTGTGTATTAAACTAGAAACTAAATCCCGTCTCAATTAATCGTAACATCCTACAGCAACACTATGCGCTTTATAATGTGTTAATATGTAAGTGAAAATGTGTTGATGCTTTTATGTGATTATTAAAAAAAAAGTCTCAAAACCGAAATTATGCCACTCACTTAGAAATGCTGATAAGAATTGTGAACTAGAAACCTTTTAGAAATATGTCCTACTTGTGTGGCCACAAGTACTCTGTGCATTTAATAAATATCTATGTACTAGTTTTTAGCTGCAGTTACTTGCTCTTGTGCACATAAAATGTTGGCCTTTGACTTGAGTAGGTGGTGTTCTTACATAAGTATGCATGTATGTACATTAGGGTGCCCAGTTTTCCTCCAATTTTCTTTCTTTCTATGAGAAATATTATTATATTATTTAGAGGTCGCGCGACTTGTCAGTTTAGGTCAGAAAATACGGTTTTGTAGATTTATCAGTTTTTGAATCGAACACGTGGTGTGTTGTAGTCTGTTGTCAGACTTGGATTGTTGGGATTTTTAATTGGTCAAAATATCAAAATATTTATATTTTCTTCATTTTTTAGATTTTGACAATCGCTTATTTCCACACTTTCAAAATATGTACTACTTTCTAAATTAAATCTATTTTCAAATAAACTGATACCTCACTTATTGCTACCGCATAAAAATTGTCGAAGTTAGGCAACTTTTCTTAAATACGCCCTTGAAGTTATATGTGTGTGTGTGTATGTACCGGACTTTCAGATTTATTGAGCAGTGTGGCTAAGGAATTCATCAATATAAAAATATTCAAAATTAGTCTTTAGCACAAAAATTGGTTTTTCATAAAATTCTGGGAAAATGCGGGTGGCACCGCCCACTTATATCATATATGTATGTGTATCTCAAAACCTACTCGCTTAAATTTTTTATCTACTGTTATTACGTAGATCACTAGTCTAAAAAAGTGGACTGGATCTCTTAATGAAATATGTATTTGTTTTGTTTCGTTTGCTTAGGTATGTACATATATGCTGCGCCATAAGAAACAATAGACTATTCTTTTATAAAAAAAAAAAAATACTGGGCCGATGTGTTTTCAAGCTAAGATTTCATGATAAAAGAAACGATTCGTTATTCCATCAGTTCGAATTACCGACTTTGAATTAAACTAAAAGCCTTTTTGCGCTGTGTGGACCCTGCAAGGTATGAAATATGTATGTATCTCGAATTTAGACGCTTCGAATAATGCTATAGTCTAAACTCAAGAACTATTTAATAATGTTAAGAAGACTTATAGTTGATTTCCACCAAGCCTTAACTGCAGTTTATGCCTATTAGAAAAAGGAGATTACAACTCGAAGGGGGTAATTCCACCTACTAAGTAGAAGCAAACAAAAGGAAAAAAGCAAAAATTAAGAAATAAATAAACCGATTGCCGATCACCTCATGTTAAAATTCTTAGAACTTATCTGAACTCTTAACTGCAGTTAAGCCTTTGGTGGAAATAGGCTATTAGATTAGATAATATCCTACAGAATTGTATTTAAAAGTTCAAAAGTAGCCTTCCGACTTTCTATTTAAGCTTGTAGTATGTTCTACTATGTAAGGCGCCAGCCTAGAATACTCTGAAAAAATTAGAAAAGTGAAAATTGGTGTTTCCAGGACAGCTGAAATTATCTACATACATATACATATGTACATATCTTCACATTTCACATTTTGTAATGAAAAAGTTCAGTACTAAATGTCCGTGCCCCGTTCTCGAGGGTTTACTGCTGTCACTGATGCGTTATAATAGCAATACATATAATTAAATGCAAATATAACTCATTTTCTAAAAGACTCTTTGTCACAATGCATATTCACTTCTTATGAGAAAACTAAAAAATATTTTCGTATGGATTTTTTACCGCATATATAAAGTATGATATGTATGTATAAGCAATAATTCTGAAAAATTATCTCAAAAATTACTTATTTTGAGTTGCGACAGTCTTTTAGTAAATGCGCGATATTTGCATTTACATTAATTTTTTCTTGAATGGCATAAATACCTTCTCGCTTCGGAGATGACTTTGCGCAGAAATTGCGGCGTACGTGCAAAATTCTGCAGATTCTCCATTTTCTTAAGACCAAGTTAAGTTGCCCAGGTGTTAAACGAAATTACAGCAATTGTTGTTGTTGGTGCTAATACCACAACTTTTTGACGTATAGTTTTCACTTCACCACTAAATTTTTTCACGATCACAATAATAATCGAGTATTTTTATATATTAAATTAAGATTTAGTTAATTTTATTTTCTTAACTTAAATTTTTATGTATTAATATTTGAGCAAATACATTTATTGCTTGCCCAAGCCAACAAACAAAAACGTTGATTTACGAACCACCAAGTGGCTGTGTTTGGACGCACAAATAACGGGTGATTTTTTTGAGGTTAGGATTTTCATGCATTAGTATTTGACAGATCACGTGGGATTTCAGACATGGTGTCAAAGAGAAAGATGCTCAGTATGCTTTGAAATTTCATCATGAATAGACTTACTAACGAGCAACGCTTGCAAATCATTGAATTTTATTACCAAAATCAGTGTTCGGTTCGAAATGTGTTTCGCGCTTTACGTCCGATTTATGGTCTACATAATCGACCAAGTGAGCAAACAATTAATGCGATTGTGACCAAGTTTCGCACTCAGTTTACTTTATTGGACATTAAACCAACCACACGAATGCGTACAGTGCGTACAGAAGAGAATATTGTGTCTGTTTCTGAGAGTGTTGCTGAAGACCGTGAAATGTCGATTCGTCGCCGTTCGCAGCAATTGGGTTTGTGTTATTCGACCACATGGAAGATTTTACGCAAAGATCTTGGTGTAAAACCGTATAAAATACAGCTCGTGCAAGAACTGAAGCCGAACGATCTGCCACAACGTCGAATTTTCAGTGAATGGGCCCTAGAAAAGTTGGCAGAAAATCCGCTTTTTTATCGACAAATTTTGTTCAGCGATGAGGCTCATTTCTGGTTGAATGGCTTCGTAAATAAGCAAAATTGCCGCATTTGGAGTGAAGAGCAACCAGAAGCCGTTCAAGAACTGCCCATGCATCCCGAAAAAATGCACTGTTTGGTGTGGTTTGTACGCTGGTGGAATCATTGGACCGTATTTTTTCAAAGATGCTGTTGGACGCAACGTTACGGTGAATGGCGATCGCTATCGTTCGATGCTAACAAACTTTTTGTTGCCAAAAATGGAAGAACTGAACTTGGTTGACATGTGGTTTCAACAAGATGGCGCTACATGCCACACAGCTCGCGATTCTATGGCCATTTTGAGGGAAAACTTCGGAGAACAATTCATCTCAAGAAATGGACCGGTAAGTTGGCCACCAAGATCATGCGATTTGACGCCTTTAGACTATTTTTTGTGGGGCTACGTCAAGTCTAAAGTCTACAGAAATAAGCCAGCAACTATTCCAGCTTTGGAAGACAACATTTCCGAAGAAATTCGGGCTATTCCGGCCGAAATGCTCGAAAAAGTTGCCCAAAATTGGACTTTCCGAATGGACCACCTAAGACGCAGCCGCGGTCAACATTTAAATGAAATTATCTTCAAAAAGTAAATGTCATGGACCAATCTAACGTTTCAAATAAAGAACCGATGAGATTTTGCAAATTTTATGCGTTTTTTTTAAAAAAAAGTTATCAAGCTCTTAAAAAATCACCCGTTATAAGCGCATACACATAAGAGTACAACTGGGACTGCGGCAGTGACCAGCAGAACAACAAAATTTTACTGGAACGATGTTTGCGCTGATATACTTTCTGTCGCAATCTATTTGCTATTCGCCTTTAATTCTTTGTATTTTCTTTTTTTTCAAGAGCTCCCGAAGAAATCAATAATTAATGAACGAACGATCACGATTCACATGAGGAAAAGTCAAATCGAGCAGAAAGGCAAACACATATCACTGTAACATTTGATGATAAATTAGCAATAATATAATATATGTATGCTTTTTTCTTTGTATCTTCAATATAGGTACTTTGAGCATTTTAATTTCGTGCGACTGGCAGCATAACATACTGTCATAAAATTTCAAGCCCCAACTGGTGCAAGAAGGCTTTTAACACAGGTACTCTTTCTTATACATATGGATTTGTGAATGCGTAAGATTGGTTACAACACGGCAAGAAGAATATTTTCACATTTTTTCACAAGAGAAAATTCTGTTAATGGTTTTTCACACACTACTCTTCTCACCACCACAATTTTCTTTTTTCCTATAGCGAACGCATCCGTACGCACAGATTCACTAATCCGATTCGACCGTCCATTGCCTCTTGCATCGAAAAAATGACTGGTTCGCGCTGCTTGCCTGCTCGACGGCTGAACTGCCTCTCGTTGGCTGTCTTGTTCATTCGCTCGCACCGATAATACGAGCAACTGCAAGGAAATAGTACAAGTGACGCGTTGCCACCATACCGTTCCGGAGCGATAGCTGCTGTGAAACGATTGCCATTTACACATTTAGTATATTGTTGTTGCCCAACAGCCAACAAAGTCATGTAGCGTGTTCGGTGATGCGTGCGTCCACAAAGAGTCGACTGAGGAAAACGTCAACACCCAAGTCGATTTTAGAGGCAATGTTGTGCTGTTGCTTGTTGTGCACCAAGCAAATTCATAACGAGTTTTAGGAGGCGGCGGGTGGCGCAGTATAGTGGCCCAATTTGTGGTGGTGAGTTGATGGCGGTGATGTATCCGGCTGTAGTGAGCGAAATGAGTGCGTTGAGAACATTTTTTGCTCTCATGTGTGCTGACATACATACATACACATATGTATGTATATAGTGTTGTGGGGCAAGAAACAAAAGGCAAAGCAAGATAATGAGGCTTGAGCAAGCAAGACATGACTACGGGCACCCGAGGAAAACAAAAATGTACTATTGTACAAATTGGAACATATGAAAAGTCTCCGCGGATTTTGGGGTACATTTTTTAACACAATTTACAATTTCTTGAGCTTGAGCTCACTTCAACTGTACAAAAATTGAGTTTATTGCTATTGCTATCTCCGACCTTCTGCCCTTTTTCGGGTAGCTTCATAATTCCATCGGTGTAGGACTTCGGTGGTTTATGCTCTCGGCTCTTCGGTCGGCCAATTTTTTATCATCAAGAGATTTTTGCCGAGGCCATACTGTGGATGCATTAAAACTTCCCAATCAAGTTTCCTCAATTTGTTCCGAGTTAGTGTGGCCACTTGTGGTCGCTTTTTCTTAAACATTTGGCCCCGATGTAACAGCTCATTCCTATTGGACAATTCCCGTTTAGTCCCTTCAAACACTCAATATAACCTTATTTGCCGCCAATCCAGGCTTTGCAATCATTTGCGGAGGGTCATCAGTGTATGACCATGATCACTTGTGTTGCTTATTCTCGTATTCAATCCATGAGCGACGTGCATCTTTGACATCAAAATTTCCACAACGGAATTCCAGCATTCACTTCATTCACTTACAGCATTCTCATCGTACGCTTCGTATTTCTTCAAATATTTTACTCATTTTCAAATCGATATAATTTTTTGTTCGAGTGACGAATTACAAAAATGTCGTCACTAGAAATGTAGCCTGAAATGTCACCTTTTCAACTCACGTTAGCTTAATGCAATTTTGTTAGTGTTGCCATATTATGTATGGCCATCAAGTGATAAAAATCTGCAGATACTTTGCAAATGACCCAATATATCCATATGTATGTATGTATGTACATACATACGCACAAATGTAGCTGCACACGTTTGAGAATTTTCTCATTTCATTTACCAAGAATACATGTGCATACATAGTTACATGTTTACACGCGGGGACCGACCTTTCATTGCATTTTGTCTTGTTTTTATTTACTCTTACATTTGCCAATTTTTCTCCATTTTGCTGCACGCAAGCTTCATCTCCCATGTTTATTTAATGTTTTTGTTTTATTGTTGTTCTTGTTTGCTTTCATCTCTTGATACTTTTTCCAGAGCAGAGTGCTTCTGAAAGTGTGAAGGCAAAAATTTAGTGGCATCTTTTTGATTTTAACTGGAGACAGAGGGCTTGAACTGCAATATTTCTGAAATTCTGAATTCGAAATTTTTAAATAAATATGCGTTTGCTAAATATGATCTCGTACTACATTAAATTGGGATCTTGAATATATACATATACACGTTTTTAACCCTATTTTCAAAGTGCAACGAGATTGATGTTAAGGGGTTATATCTTGGCAGATCTTTCAAGCACCAATTTGCTGGTTCTGCATTTTCAGTTAAATTGCGGTTAGTCGTGGTACTTTGTTAGGTTTTCGGAAATAAAATTTTCGAGTCGTTTTCGGAATTTAATATCGACTTTCGGAAAAAAATCACTTTAGAAAGTCACTTTAAATGCAAGATGTATCTGTGCTCCAGAAATTACTCTCACAAATTCTTTGAGTTTGACCGCTTTTAAGTGAAAAGAAAATTACTAAAATTTTACAATCGCTAATTAACACCAACAGGGCAAACTCCTACCTGAGTAGGCTGAATGAGGATGTGCCTAATGAATGTCCGGCATGCGGAGAGACCCCACATGACTCGAAACATCTCTTCGCATGCCCGGCAAACCCGACATCCCTAACGACCTTGTCCTTATGGGCAAACCCCGCAGAAGCTGCACGCTTCCTAGGGTTGCCGTTAGTGGAACTTGACGACAACGACTGAGATACCAACCGATCTGGGCGGGGTTGTTGTAGCCGCTACAACAACAACAACCAACAGGGCAATTTCGGCAACTGTCTTTCAACAAGTCTTTCGTAAGGCTATTGTCAATTTTGGCAACTATATTGAAAGCTATTTTCTGTATTTCAAAAGACTTATTGAAAAAATATGTTAACGAGGAGCACTCTTGCGTTATTCTGTTTGTCTTGTAGCAATAAGTTTCCTAAAAAGTTAATTAAATAAAAAATATATATATTTTTTTCTTTTTAAGATAATAGAAACTAAAAATTAAAAAAGGATTAATTAAAAAGGAAAAAAAATGCATGTGCATGTATTTTATTTAAACAATAAAATCTAATAATTAGATGAAAATTAAATAAAAAAATAAAGATCCTAAAAATTAAAAAAGAAAAAAAAATTTTTTCTTGTTAAAGCAATGAAATTAAAAAAGCGAGAAAACAATTAAAAAAAGAAAAATAGTAAACCAAGTTTCTACAAAATAAATAAAATAACATTTTTTTTCTTTTTAAAACAAATGTATTAGAAAAAAAAGAAAAAAAAATAAATTTTTTTTCTTGTTAAATCAATAAAATCTTAAAATTAAAATTTGTTTCAATTAAAAAAGAAAAAATAACCTCGGATGCCTGTTTCTCAAACTTTATTCTAGGCATTTCAAAGCTATTTTAAAGTTATACAGACTCAATATTTTCAGAAAGACTTTTTTAAATAAATAATTTCATAATTTCACGCTTCCGTGCTTGAAAAAGCTTGTAATTATAAAACTGCTTTTGAAGATTCTTAGTTCAGTCTCTCGAAAGTCATTGAAGTAAAAACAAAAGACTTAAGAAACAAACCAGAATTCATATGCAGTTATCTTATAGCCGGTTTTGAGTTAATTGAAATTGTCTCTATTTGGTATGGTTAAAGGTGAATTAACCCTAAAAGCTCAAAAGTTATTGTACTCAAGAAAAAAAAATGCGGAAAGGTTTTGCAGAATTTATTTTGCCATTCCACTTGTCATTAACAGGTCTATTCGCAAGTTATCGATGATTTTGTAACCCAAAATTTGTATTAACAAAAACTAAAAATCTGACCTTTTTTACCGGCTATAAAATTTTTGCTATCATCGCAGAATGGACCCGTTGCCCGTCACAAGCCTCCCGAGGATTTTTTTAACAGCAAATTTTTAATTACCAAAAACCTTTAACACTTTTAATAGATACCTGGTCGCGATTTTTGGTACATTGGCAAAGATGTCAAGGTATTCAGCAATTCAGCAATGGATTTTCTCAGAAAACTGTTGAAGTATCACATATTAAAAAGGTGGTAACAATATTCCACGGTTGGAAGAATGCATAGAATTCGAAGAAGGTGCAAAAAAAGGAGCCAGAAATTATTGCAGCAGAGACCTGTAAAAACCAAATAACTCCTGTCAATCGCTGATGAAATATGAAAAAACGTACACAGTGCAAATTTGCGAGGTGAAAACATTTTGCGTGCATAATTTTTTTCGCGTTTGGGCTCATTTGACATCAGCCAAGTAAAAAACGCTCAAAACCCAAGATGCGTCACAGCAGAAGACATTATTCTCGCTGGCGAAAGTCAAAATTTCTGTCAAGTTGCTTCTTGTAAACAATAACAAAGCAATTGTGTACTTGCACCAGTTATTGTTGCTTTTGTGTGCTGAAATGCGCGGAGGTAAATGCATCATTCCATGCAGTCTAAGTAGTAAAATGGTGACGGTGATGGTAGTAGTGATGATCAAGAATGCAAAAAACTGTTCTGCGCACGTACGAAGAACTCTTCAGAAAGAAAATTTATTTTGCTTGTAAACCAGCTAAGTTATAAACGAATATGTGTATATACATATATACGTATATACAAACATATGACTAACTGTCTTTTAAGAGTAACCAAGTGTTGTAGATACATATGTATGTACATATAAAACTCATTCGCATTGCAGCTTTAATAATGTAAATGTAAATTATTGCAATAACACCCACAGCTTTGCTTGACATATGACACCATTTGACGCACCCACGAAGACCATACCATTGCTGTTGACGGTAGCACACAGACAGCAGTAAACTTTGCTGCAGTAAAACTACTTGTATAGACTAACTAAATATACAGATTTTCATACACATTTGTATAAGGATATATTAACAATGCAAACAACCCCAGCAGCATTTTTGCCACTACCCTACTTTAAAGCCGTAATACTGCAGGGTGTTTATGAACGAATTTTTGATTTTAATCAAAGGCAAAAGTCAATTACGTGCAAAAATGTATGTATGTTAGTATGAATTATTATAAAGAATGTACACGAAAAAAACTGGTCACAGTTAAAACGTTCTAAAACATAAATATATTAATGGAATTCAACGATATTTACATATATTTACATCTAAACTTAGTTTTATTGAAATTCGTTAAAAAAAGAGTTAATTCTCCTTGTAATAAGCAAACGATCGGAATTTTGACTTTATGTCCTTCATTAGCCATTGCACAGAAGTTTCAGTGATTTCCTTGGAAACCAGCTGCCATTTATTTTTGAATTGTTGTGCGTTTTTTACAGCTTTGTGGGTCTTAAGAAGTTTGGATTTCATAACGGCCCAGTAGGTTTCGATCGGCCGATGCTCTGGACAATTAGGTGGTTTCACCTCTTTTGCTACAAAATACACTTTGTTTCTATGTTACCATCCTAAAGCCATTTTTCCGTAATGACATATCGCGAGATCAGGCCAAAAAAGCACTGGATCTTTATGAAGCCGTATAAGAGGTAAAAGTCGCTTTTGCAGACACTCCTTAACATAAATTTCTTGGTTAATTGTACCAGTGCTTACAAAAGGATCACTTTTGAAGCCGCATTGGCAAATTGCCTGCCAAATGAGAAACTTTTTGGGAAATTTATCAAACTTTTTGTTTTTATATTTATCTGCAACATTGCCTCTTTTATTTGCAGTGTGAAAATCGCGGCCCCGGATTTGTTTAAAAT